CTCTTCCGTGTTCTCTCCTCCTCTTCCTATAACCTGCAACCCAAATGTGCCTATAACACAGCTGTTACCATGGAGAGAAGGTCAATTTTTAGGGGCTGTGGGAGCAAGATGATGGAAAGAGCCAGGGTCTCTGTGTAGAGTAGAGCCACCCGCCAACCTGCCCTGCCTACCTTGAGACTGTTCTATGAGAGGGGAATCAACTTGCGTGCTGTTTACACCTCTGCAGTTATGAAGCGGTCTCTTTGTTACTACAGTCTTTACCCACAATACCCATCATAGTCTATATTCCCTTCTCCTAGAACATATATGTATTCTCTAGGCAAAATTAAGAAGGCATGACGTTGTTAGTCTGGTCCCTCTCTCTCTCTTGCTTTTTCTCTCCCTCAGTTCATTATCTATCTATCTATCCATCCATTCATTCACCCTGTTCCTATCCAGGACCTGGCACTATTCCTGCCGCAAAAGCTGCTCAGTACCTCTTTGTGGAATGAATGAAGTCACACCACAACTAGGAGTATCTGAAAATCAAGGCTGATTTAAGACCTTTATTGGCCCTATACCCTGAAAACTTATGTCTCCTCATTCGCCCTATATGTGATTCAAAATAAAAATTAATACTAAACTGTAAAATAAATGTAAGGAGAGGAAAAAAAATGTTCTGTTTTTCTCATGGTGATTGGAATATTCTTTGGAAAATAATATATTCTTTCCAGGAAAAAAAAATTATGCCTTTCCTTTACTGGTACTTGTGGCAGACAGTAAGAATTGCCTACCCCAGGAGTTGGCAAACATTTTCTGTAAAAGACCAGAGAATAAATAATTTAGACTCTGTGGGCCATATGATCTTTGTCACAACTACTCAACTCTGCTGTTGTAGTGTTGTAACAAATGGGCGCTGCTGTGTTTCAATAAAACTGTATAGGGACTTCCCTGGTGGCACAGTGGTTAAGAATCCTCCTGCCAATGCAGGGGACACGGGTTCGAGCCCCGGTCCAGGAAGATCCCACATGACACGGAGCAATTAAGCCCGCACACCACAACTACTGAGCCCATGTGCCACAACTACTGAAGCCCGCGCCTAGAGCCCGTGCTCCACAAGAGAAGCCACCGCAATGAGAAGCCTGTGCACCACAATGAAGAGTAGCCCCCACTCGCCGCAACTAGAGAAAGACCACGTGCCGCAATGAAGACACAATGCAGCCAAAAATAAATAAATAAATAAACTTTATAAAGATAGGCCATGGGCTGGATTTGGTTTGCTGGTGTAGTTTGCTGACCCCTGGTTCACCCTCTATTAACTTAACCTTCTTTCTTACTAACACTACCCATATATTGTTTGTATGTCAATGTGTCCACCTAAAAATACTTATTCCCCAGACCTCCTTACAGCTAAATGTGGCCATGTGACATACTTTTGGCTAATGAGTTACAAGCTGAGAATTTCTGGGGAGGCCTTTGCTTTCTTGATATAGGTACAGCCTTTGTTGCTTCTTGTTCTTATATGTTCTGTCTGTAATGCAGACTTGAGGTCTGGAAGGGCAGCAGCCATCTTGTAACCATGAGACAAAAGATAGGAGGAAAGCAAAGGATGGCAGAGCAGAAGCAGGGAGAGGGCTTGTCTGAGTCCCTTAGAGCTTGGATGAGCTGCCATCCAGCTCTGGGCTGCCTACTCCTTATTGCAGGAGATGAATAAGACCCTGTCTGTACCATTAGAGCACGGTCCACTATACTGTGCAATTAATTGTTGCTGGAACTCACGTCTAAGGTTCCAGGAAGGCCCGGGATTAGGTGGTACTGGGTCTGAGGCAGCAAGGGAGGGGATACAGTTATCTGGGATCAAATGCAAGCTGCAGAGCTGGAGGTGGAGTGGAGCATTCCAAAGGCAGGGCTCACTTGCCAGACAGGGATCAGGGGTGGCAGAGCCCGTGTCAGCATGGGCAAATTCCAAAGCATGAGATGCGTGGCCAGGGACTGTTCACAAAGGAGTCCCAACATGGGGGAGGGGGTTCTGCATGAAAGAGCGGGAAAACTGCAGAGGATTAGCAAAGAGCTGGCTCTCTTTAACAATAACGTCTACCGGGGACATCACCTCTTTGCCCGGTTCTGGCTTCTGGGAAGCACCTAGCTTGGGATGGTGCGGGCCTTTTTGGTTTTTCTGAGATCTAGGATAGCCAAAAGCATTACTCCCCAAAGCTCCTGTAACACGCACCTAGATAATCTCCAAGCGGGAGTGATGTTTTCCCCAGCTTAGCAGCTATAACCCTTGGGGAGTGAGTGACAGAGCCAGTCCCTCCTGGTGGAGGGTGTTTTACTAACACTTAACACTTATTGGAGGTGGCTCCATGCCGGGGTTTTCCATATACAACACGCAGTCCTCGCAACAACGCTGTGAGGGATAGTCTCTTGGTCTAATCTCTAATTTACAGATGAGGAAAGTGAGACCCCAGACATATTGGGTCACTAGCCCAAGGCCACCCAGTGAGGAGGTGAGAGCCAGATTTGAACCCAGACCAGTTTGTCCGCTGAGCTGAAGTTTGTCCTGTTCCATGAGTTCATCTCCTCCCGAGTCCGGTTTCCTGATTGGTCTCCTAGGACACTGGTCCTATGGAGTGACCCCGGCATTGCTGCCCTCTGTCCCGCTGTTTGTTGGAGGGCAGATATGTGCCTCGGGCTGCATTGTCCC